GTTATGGAATTGTAGCAGGAGCTGTCGTATGAGTTGTAGAGGGGGCTGCTTTGCTGCTCGTGGTAGGAATTGTCGTGGGACGTGTAGTGGGGCATGCCGCATAGCTTCAGACGACGCAGTAGCATTCTGTGTATCAATATCTTGGGTAGGAAATGAGCGCTGGCTTGTATATCTACATATATATATATATAGGTGGCTTCCGTTTACGGTAAATCGATGTTCGTCAATTCGCCCCTGCGCCAACAGGACTGGGGCGCGGCGAACAGAGTCGGAGACTCCCCATACTTCGTGCGACATAAACGACTCCGCTTTCCTGGCGCACATCCTCGCCCTCGCGTGCACCAGCGACGCAACTGGATGCCCAGGCGAACTAGCTTGCGCATGCGAGCAGGGTCCTGACTGGGGCCGAAGATCACCCGGGACGGGTAGGACGCGCATTGACTACGTCATCGCCAACTGTAGAGGTAGAAGATTCGTTGCTAACTTCGTCTTGCTCCGCGATCTTCCCACCCCGCCATGCCCCGGGCTCCTTGAGTCGCTTGATCTCGACGTTGCTAGACACCCAGCGATGAAAATGAAGAGCGTTGCGCAGTGATGTCCGCTCGCGTGCCCGACGATCGACTGGGATGAGCAATCGTCCCTTGGGCGCCGCCTTGAGCGCGCCTGCCGTGCTCGGGCGGGCGAGGCCGACGCAGCTGGCGACGAGGGCAAGCTGCTTGACCTCTCCGACCAGGTGGCGCGTGCATCTCACGCCGAGCTCCGCCACGCAAGTCCGCCGCAGGACCAGGGCAGATCGCGCCAGGAACCGACCGGGCATGGCCGCGCGACGCCTCTGAGAAGCGTGCGCCGCCCCTCTCGCCTGCCCCGAGCGCGGCCTGGCGTGCCGCGCCAACGTCGCTCTCGACAGGCTGCAGCGCCAACCCAGAGCGGTAAACTACCACTTGGAGCAGCACCGGGTCCATTGCCGCGCGCGCGGCACCTGCCACCCCCCAAAATGCGTGAATGCTTAAAGCGCGTGTGGACGGAGGCTTGCGTTCTTGCCCAAAGACAGCGACTCGCTTGCCTTGGGAGTTCCCGCGCGTTTGGAAGCCGGGCGAGCCCCCTATCTGCAACTGCAGCCTTATCGCTTCCACGTGGGCGTTGCTGAGAGGGTGTGGCCAACTGGGCAAAGCCAGCCGCGTCGATGCCTGGCGAAACTGGGTGAGAGCCAGTGACGGAGGTGGGGCGGCATGCCAGTGGGTCAATGCGGTTGGCATTTCTAGCGCGTTTTATTTGCGCGCGCCGCGCAGTGGGCCCCCTCGCGCGCCAATCGGCGCGCGGGCGGTGGCATGTCGGTGAGAGAGGGTCCCCCCCTGACTGTGGTCCGCCGCCGGACTCAGTCATAAAGCGGTGGAGCATCCGCCCATTCCTCGCCTGCCGCGGCCGCGGACAGCGGGGGCAAATCCGGCGCCTGAGACCCCCGCCCAGCAAGCGAAACCATGTTCTGGCCGACGCGAGAGCCGTGCTTGAGCTCGCGACGGACGCTTGGGAACCAGTGCTGGGGCGGCACCGGTGGACAGGGGCCCGCTCTAGCAAGGCCATTCCTGCCTGGGGGGCGTTCGAGGCGGAGTGCCGCCATGGATTCTCCGACCCCTCCCCCGCCTCGCCCTTCGTCTCGTCTTGATTGACAGAGCGCTCGTTCATGTCAACCGCGCCAGAGCGGCCGCTAGAGGGGGCGAGAGGGCGGCCTAGACGTACGGACAGTAAGAGTAGCAGAGACTCTGCCTGACGGAGTCCTTCGCCGCTTTGCCGATGCCCTGGGGGCCATGCAACGCGCGGGAGAAGTGCTTGAGCCCTTCCTTCGCATCCCGAACCCGTGCCTTGGCAGCGGGAGAGGGGAACTGCCCGCTTGCCAAGGCTTCCGCCAATTCGCATCTGTACGGATGCGCGCGTCGGAAGCGCCGGCTTACCGCGGCTCGGCGTTGTGGGCAGCTCCTGAGACCCGCCCTGCGAGTTGCGGCGCGGCGCCGCGCGCCGCCGTCGGAGACGCCAGCCCCGCGCTAGCATTGCAGGTGAAACGCGCGCGGCAGCTCCGCGTGTCATCTCCAGATCCGCATTCGACAGGCGAGCGTGTCTCGATTAACTCGTCGCGGACATTTGTCTCAATTTGCGGTTGCGCGCGGGGTGCTCGCTGGACATCGCGCGCGTCGGGGGATACTTATGCGATGGCCACCGCATGTGCGTCCGCGTGGGAGGGGCGTATTCTAGGCCGTTCGCGCGCGCCAGCGGCCACCTTCAAGGTAGCTCCTTCTCCTTCGACGACGTTGAACTCCCGCTGCGCGTCAGGGCCGAGAGAGAACGCCGTTGCGCGCCCCGACCCCGGAGCATGACGTTCGTTGGCGACAGTAGCTTCAGCCCGCCCGCTGCCGGCGAGCTCCAGGCTCCGCTCGACGAGACTCTCCTCCTCGATCGCCTCTCAGGCCGAACAATTCACCCAGGTAAATTTGTTGGCTGGGCCGTCGGCGAAGAGCTCCCCCCACAGGAGGCAACTCTCTAACTTATGGGCGCCCGCTGCAAACTCAGCGTCAGGCGGGGCCAGTGGGGGGCTGCATCGACGCGGCGTCCGTAGGGGATAATGCCGGCCGGCCTGAATCAGGCGGCCGCCGCAGATGCGGGAGTTCGGTTCGACATTGCCGGACTCCCACGTATTATTCGCACCCCCCAAGGCGCCCATGCCCGTGCCCGTTCGGACAGACCTCTCGTGGCTAGTGCGTGCGCCGCAGGCGCCGAAACCTCCGTGACAACTCTACGTTCGCCGCCAGTCGCCCCAGGGGGCGATCCAGGATCTCGCAGCGGGCCCTCCGCGCTCTCATTGTCCCTGGGCATGCCTTTGAGCTGGGTGCGATTGCGCAAAGGGAAGCCCCGCTCGGGCTGCGGATACAGGCGCGGGGAGACGCTGGTCTCAACGCTAATTCCGAAGAGCTGCTGGGCCATGCGCAGACCCGTCAAGGAGGTTGGCCTGTTGGCAGAGTCTGGCAAACTATCCTCCACTGGAGTGGAGTTGGCCACCGCTTGACATGGTGAGTGACGACGGGGGTGCCCGCCTTCATGGTTGCGCCTTCCGGTCGGCTTGTTCACTCGCATGTCCCGAGCTTCGCAAGCGAAGGAGAGACCTTCCTCCCGCGCGCTCCCGACGCCGGACACGACCTGGGCGCGGTCGCCGCGGCTGGGCGGGCCCCTGTTTTTTGTTTGCCGGCGCTCGGTTGCCAATCACCAAGGGCAAGTTTCCATGCGTTCTTTGGCAGCCTGGCCTCTCTGCAATTGCCTGCGCGGCAGTGGCCGCGCTGGGCAGAGCAGAGTCCGCGCGGGCGTCTCGGCTGACCCATCGCCGCTGCGCGGATGGTGTCATCGAGAAGAATAAACGCTGGAACGCGCAGAGCCTGGACATGCCTTGGCTGGGTGGTGGAAAGGACCGCCTTGACACCCATGATCGCTGATCAGCAATGGGGTGGCCCCGCCTCGCGAGAGGCGTTGCGGGCTCCTCGAAGAAGACCCGCAGTTGCTGGGCCGCCAGGCCACCCTTGCACAGAACGTGCTCCCTTGGCCCTCCGAATCGGATCTGCTTGAGGAATGCGCCGGCGACGACGCATGGCCCGGGTCGGTCGATGCGGCCGTCGGCGGAGCCTGCGCGTGCACGGCAGGGCCCGCCCGCTCTTTGCCAGTGTTGGTTTCGGAGTCTACTTCGGGCCGGACCGCCGGCTAGGCCATCCAGCTTGGGTGCGCGGCTTGGACTAGTCGGCGCGGCGCGCCGAGGCCCTCGCCCTGCTCCGCCCAGTGGCCGCCGGGCCGTCGAGGCCCCTCGTCGCAGGGGGGCCGCCGCAAGTCAGTGGAGATCGTCCCCATGGGAGCCAGTGGCGACGCAAAGTCGCGGCGGTTCTCCACGGCGCCGTTGTCACGATCTATGGCCGTCGCCGCCGCGCGTTGCCCTTCCAAGACAAACGCGCGGGTTGCTTTGCGGTTGAACTCGCCGACGTGAAACCGAATTATTTCGCCGCGTGGCGGGGGGGCGGCGAGCAACTTGGCTCGCCTGGCGACCCCGCGCAACTGCGAGGCCCGCCGGGGCCAGACTTCTCCGGCGATCTCGACGACCCATGTGGGGGCCCAGCGTTTGGGGTGTTCCAAGGGGCGGAAATCCGCGAGGTTCCTTCCTCCGTGGCCACCGCGCATAGCCACAAGGTCGTTTCCCCTGCCCACCGGGCCACGGGAACTGGCGGCCGCCCCGCGCGCAGGCACCGCGTGCATACCAACGCCGCGAACGAATCACAGACACGCTCTCGCGCAGTACCTCGTGGTTGCCACGCGACAGCTAGATCGGGAACGTGGAGCGATTCTCATCGCCAGTCTCACGGAAGTGCAGCAGCGTGCCGCAAACGTTGTGCATGCCCTTCTTCCCACCCAGGAGCAGTCTAGCCCTTTTACTGGACACTTTCCAACGGGCTCACCCAGCGTGGAACGACCTGCAACAGGCCTTCCGTCCGACCGCTTCTCTCAGGGGCACTCTTCAAAGAAGCCTCCAGGCGCACCTTGAAGCTCGCCGCTAGCACGCCAGAGCCGTTCTTTTCTCGGGTGTGCTGCGACAGCACCTGGAAACTGTTCTGCGACCGTTGCACTGGGCCAGTGCGGGGGATGCTTCAAGGTGGCGCTGCGGTTCACTGAGGTGCCGATGCGTGCAGCCCAAAGCGCGCTTGAAGTCGGCGCCTGTTGCTCGGGTGTGCAGACGAGGCGTGTCCCGCCCTGATCACCATAGACCCGTTTTTGAAACAGCAGATCCGTTCCACAAAAAACCGGAGACCTTTCCGTCCGCGCCAGGGGGAAGGATGTTTTTCCCACCCCTGTTCGTTTTGCGACAGTTCCCGCCTGTGTGAGGTAGGCCTGGACGGCAGCTACGCCCCGCTAGGCCTGGACGAACTGCCGTCCGAATTGTTGCGCTCTCTCTCCCCCTCCCCCAGCTCCTGCTTCGCTCCCCTTCATCTCTCTTTCTTCCTCCCCCCGCGTCCCCCTCTTCCCTCTTCCCTCCTCCTCGCTGCCTCTCCTCTTCGCTTCTTCCTCCATTTCCTCCTCGCCCTGCTCTTATATTACCCCTCACGGGCGATCCAGCGCGGCCATGGCGTTGAGGGAGGACGACGGAATCACTGGGCCCATGGCTGTGGTCACGATTTGCAAGAGCCTGCTGGGCGGCGCCATCTTCAGCCTGTCCTATGCGCTGCCCTCAATGAGCTCTCTTCCCAGCGCCAGACTGCCGGCGTCGTGTTTTTGAGTCACCGCGTTGTTTCTCAATTTCTGCTTTGAGGGCAGTCTTCAAGCCCTGGGACCATCAGAGCTGAGGAAAGCCGTCCTGGAGGCTCTGGAACCTGGGGAATGGAGGTGCCGATCGTCATCCCAGAGTTCCGGCGTCCCCCGAATTCCAGAGTTTGGGTACCCCACACCCATGTGGCAAGTTTTCGGAGAAGTCCGACGGTTGGGGGACGGAGATGGCGATCTCCATCCCAAAGTTCTGAACAGCTTTGGGTGCTGCTGTGGTATAAGCTAGTTCTGCCTGGGAGACCCCCGACGGGACATCCTCAACAAGAATGATCGACCCACGAACCCGGAAAGGAATTAAGATGTAACGCATGGCAACGTTTTCAAAGACACCTGATTGGGTGACGGGCTAGTGCAATGCTGATTGTATCGATCTTGATGTACCGTGCCGAGGGCTTTGCTGTGTTGCACCGTGCTGAATTGCGATGTGCCATGCCGTGGTTGTGCTCTATAGCGTCGTGGATCAAGTCTTCCTTTGCATCCGAGTCCTGACCGAACTGATCTGGATCTTAAGCTCGAGCTGCCTGAGCACATAGTAGTTGGCCCAGAGATAATTGACAGGGGGACATGCCAGGAGGACGCGCCGCGAAACGTCCCAATGGACGCGCCAGGCGACGTGCCAGGGGACGTGCCATGGGGTCGCACCGCAGGACGTGCCAAGGGGACGCGCTACGGAACGTGCCAATGGATGTGCCACGGAATGTGCCAGGGGACGCTCCACGCGACGTACCAGGGGGACTCGCCAAGGGACGCCCCACGGAACGTGCCAAGGAACGTGCCAGGTTGCAATGCTGATTGTATCGATCTTGATGTACCGTGCCGAAGTCTGTGCTGTGCTGCACCGTGCTGAATTGCGATGTGCCATGCCGCGGTTGTGCTCTATAGCGTCGTGGATCGAGTCTTCCTTTGCATCCGAGTCCTGACCGAACTAATCTGGATCTTAAGCTCGAGCTGCCTGAACACATAGTAGTTGGCCGCAGAGATAATTGACAGGGGGACATGCCAGGAGGACGCGCCGCGGAACGTCTCAAGGGACGCGCCAGGCGACGTACCAGGGGACGTGCCATGGGGACGCACCGCGGGACGTGCCAAGGGGACGCGTTACGGAACGTGCTGGGGACAAGCGTTTCGCTCGAGACATCCGATCAAAATCCTCATTCTAGACATCCGCCTGAGCGACCTGGACACGTGAAAACAAACGTTTCGCTCAACACATCTTCAACACATTCTCATGCTAGACATCCGCCTGGGCGAGCTGGACACGTGAAAACAAGTATTTCGCTCGAGACATCCTCAACACATCTTCATGTGAGACGTCCGCCTGGGTGACCTGGGCACTTGAAAACAAGCGTTTCGCTCGAGACGTTTTCAACACCTTCTCATTCTAGACATCCGCCTGGGCGACCTGTACACGTGAAAGCAAACGTCTCGCTCGAGACATCCTCAACACATCTTCATGTTAGACATCCGCATGGGCGACCTGGACACGTGAAACCAAGCGTATCTCTCGCGACATTCTCAACACATCCTCATGCTAGGCATCCGCCTGGGCAACCTGGACACGTGCAAACAAGCATCTCGATCGAGACTTCCTTAACACCTCCTCATTCTAGACATCCGCCTGGGCGACGAGGACGCGTGAAACCAAGCGTCTCGCTCGAAACATCCTCAACAAATCCTGGCGCTTGACCTCTGCCTGGGCAACCTGGAGGCGTGAAACCAAGCGTCTCGCTCGAGACATCCTCAAGACCTGGTCACATGAAAACAAGCATTTCACTTGAGAGATCCTCTGAATTCAGGTCCCCAGGAGAGGACAATATATAACACAAAACAAGCGGTTCGCTCGAGACATCCTCAACAAATTATGAATTATCCTGGCGATGGACCCAACCATATGCAGTTACGAGTACCGCACAGCAGGTTGAACGAATGAGAGGGAACTCCCTAAGGGGCCACGAAACGTGTGAGAGGTGTGCCGAAATGGGTGCGGTGCCGCCATGCGAACGCAGCCACTGGGGCCCTCGGTGGAGCTCCCTATGGGGCCACGAAACGTGTGAGGGGTGTGTCGAAATTGGTGTTGGTGCGGTGCCGCCATGTGAACGCAGCCACTGGGGCCTTCGGTGGAGCTCCTATGGGGCCACGAAACGTGTGAGGGGTGTGCCGAAATGGGCGCGGTGCCGCCATGCGGACGCAGCCACTGGGGCCTTCGGTAGAGCTCCCTATGGGGCCAAGAAGCGTGTGAGGGGTGTCCCGAAATGTGCGCGGTGTCGCCATGCGAACGCAGCCATTGGAGCCCTCGGTGGAGCTCCCTATGAGGCCACGAAACGTGTGAGGGTTGTGCCGAAATAGGTGCGGTGCCGCCATGCGATCGCAGCCACTGGGGCCCTCGGTGGAGCTCCCTATGGGGCCACGAACCAGGTGAGGGGTGTGCCGAAATGGGCGCGGTGCCGCCATGCGAACGCAGCCACTGGAGCCCTCGGTGGGGCTCCCTATGGGGCCACGAAACGTGTGAGGGCTGTGCCGAAATGGGTGCGGTGCCGCCATGCGAACGCAGCCACGGGGGCCCTCGGTGGAGCTCCCTCAGGGGCCACGAAACGTGTGAGGGGTTTGCCGAAATGGGTGCGGCGCCGCCATGCGAACGCAGCCACTGGGGCCTTCGGTAGAGCTCCTATGGGGCCACGAAACGTGTGAGGGGTGTGTGCCGAAATGGGTGCGGTGCTGCCATGCGAACGCAGCCACTGGGGCCCTCGGTGGAGCTCCCTATGGGCCCACGAAGCGTGTGAGGGGTGTGCCGAAATGGGTGCGGTGCCGCCATGCGAACGCAGCCACTTGCAAAACGTGTGAGGGGTGTGCCGGTGCGGTGCCGCCATGCGAAGCAGCCATTGGGCCTTCGGTGGAGCTCCCTATGGGCCACGAAACGTGTGAGGGGTGTGCAGAAATGGGCGCGGTGCCGCCATGCGAACGCAGCCACTGGAGCCCTCGGTGGAGCTCCCTATGGGGCCACGAAACGTGTGAGGGGTGTGCCGAAATGAGTGCGGTGCCGCCATGCGAACGCAGCCATTGGGGCCTTCGGTGGAGCTCCCTATGGGGCCACGAAACGTGTGAGGGGTGTGCCGAAATGGGTGCGGTGCCGCCATGCGAACGCAGCCACTGGGGCCTTCGGTGGAGCTCCCTATGGGTGAGGGGTGTGCCGAAATGGGTGCGGTGCCGCCATGTGAACGCAGCCACTGGGGCCCTCGGTGGAGCTCCCTTTGGGGCCACGAAACGTGTGAGGGGTGTGCCGAAATGGGCGCGGTGCCGCCATGCGAACGCAGCCACTGGAGCCCTCGGTGGAGCTCCTTATGGGGCCACGAAACGTGTGAGGGGTGTGCCGAAGTGGGTGTGGCTGACGCGGAGGGGGAGGAGGGAGGAGGGGGAGGAGGAGTGAGTGATGGACGCGGGGCGCTGTCTCTTCAAAACGAGGACCCAACACCACAGGATGGTTGGGAAAAAACAAGCGTTTCGCTCGAGATATCCTCAAATTTTAATTCGCCGGCCCTACGCGACCTCGTTATTTATCGCAAAAGAAATTCGCCGGCCCATCAGCCGTCAGATCCGGGGGTAAACCTCTAAAAGAGAACCCTGAGCCTGTGCCCTGTCCGGGAAAAATGAGGTGTTCCAGGCCGTTTCGCTTGAGATATCCTCACAACTCTCGCTTCTGAGTTGGCCAGGATTGGACGTTGCGCATGGGACATCCTCGGAACCCTGAGTTTGCAGATGCCGCGCGAGAGGTGATCTGGTGCACTTTGCCTGAGACATCCTCGAAACTCTGAGTTCCGAGATGCCGCACAAGAGATGGTCCGGCGCGTTTCGCTTGAGACATTATCGCAATTCTGGGCTCCGAGGTGAGAGGCGGTCCGGCGCGTTTGGCCTGATACATCTTCGCAACTCTGGGCTCCAAGAAGCCGCGCGGGAGGGTGTTTGGCGAACTTCACCTGAGACATCCTCGTGTGAGGTCCGAGATGTTGCGCGAAAGGTGGTCTAGCCGGGTTCGCCTGAGACATCCTCGTACCGCTGGGCTCCGAGATGCCGCGCGCGAGGTGGTCCAGCAAGTTTCGCTTGAGACGTCCTCGCAAGTCTGAGCTCTGAGCTCTGAGATGCGGTGCGAGAAGTGGTCTGGCACGTTTGGCCTGAGACATTTTCGCAAGTCTGAGCTCCGAGATGCAGCGCGCGAGGTGGTCCAGCGCATTTCGCTTGAGTCATCCTCGCAACTCTGGGCTCCGAGATGCTGCGCGCGAGGTGGTCTGGCCGATTTCGCCTGAGACTTTATCTCGTTTGATTTTCGGATGTCAGGTGTCGCGCGAGAGGTGGTCGAGTTCGTTTCGCTTGAGATGTCCTTCAAGCTTTAAGAATTGGGAACATGTGCGCATGGTGGTCTGGCGAATTTTGCCCAAAACATCCTCGCAATTTGGGGCTCAGAGATGCTGCGCGCGAGGCGGTCCAGCCCGTCTCGTTCGAGACATCCTCGAAATTCTGGGCTCCGAGAGAGAGAAAGAGAGAGAGAGAGAGAGAGAGAAAGAGAGAGAGAGAAAAAGAGAAAGAGAGATAGAGGAGGGATGAGGGAGGAGGGGTCAGACCCAAACGAACCATTTGATTATACTTCTGTTGTCGAATTATGGGTCGGGTTGCCGCCTGAGACATCTTAGCGACTCTGGGCTGCGAGATGCCGCGGGCGAGGTGGTGCAGCGCGTTTGGCCTGATACACCCTCGCGAATCTGGTCTCCGATGTGCCAGGAGCGGGGTGCGACGAGGAGGTGCAGGATGAGGAGGAGGGGGAGGAAAACCAGGAGGAGGAGGAGGAGGAGGAGGAGGAGGAGGAGGACTAGCACCAGGATAATGAGTATGATTCAGTAGTTAATGCTC